AAGTACTAAATTGCAATCCGATCACAACAGGATTTCATGTAGATTAGTGAAGCACTGTTTAAAAGGAACAGTTCCATGTGACAGTAGATATGGTCTATATATTCCATTTTCTATAGAAATAATTCCACTTGCATTCACTTTCTCCTCTGAGGAAAGCACCTAAATGCTGCCCAGTCTGCAGCAAATGGCTCAGGAGATAAAAGCCTGTTATTACAATGGGGACACACTTCATCTCAATGACCCTTCCTTCAACAAATCCATCACCTCAAAAATTTGTCCTGGAGGAAATTATAATGAAGCATGAGCATGATATTTTCCAAATCCTCACACTGGTGTGAGCACTAGGTCCAGAATGTCTTAGATATCCCCATCTCAAGAGTTTTAAGTGTAAAAGAGAAATAATTTGAATATTTGAATTTAGAAATAATTGTATAATCGGCATCCATGAGGTCACTCCAAAACTTTAATTCTGAAAATGGTCTTCTTGTATTTACTTGATATTTAATGGAAAATCTAGGCAAGAATTCCATATTCAACATACTTCAACCGTAGGAGGTAACTTACAGTAACTTCTAACAAAATCAAGAAGCCCTAACATTTTTCCTGCTTTACATTAGTATTAGAGGCCCAAAATAAAAGTGGCATTCATGGTGAGCATAGAATCAGACCCACTGTATAAAGGAATCTGAAATATGTTACTTTGAAAAGAAAACTTCTAAACAAATTTTAAAATCTGCCACTAGGAATCTACTTTTTAAAAATAACTTTACATAACTATACTTTCTGTGACTATACCAGTATTTAATGATCACTGCAGAAATTCTAGAAAATATATGAAAGGTTAAAAGGAATATAAAAATGTCACCATCTACTAATAATCCTTTTAATATCCTGGTTTATTACCTTCAGTTTTATTTTCCTGGGTGCTTAAATGTATATGCACATACACAGAGTGTTTTGAAACACAATTTTCACTGAATGTATAGCATTCTACTCTGTGGGTAGGCCCTGATTTATTTAACAATTCCTCAGTTGTTGGATATTTAGGTTATAATGCTAACATCTTGTGATAACTTTTGACCATACATTACTTGAATATGTCATATCCTTCAAAATCTTTGTGAAACATGGCTAAGGATCAATGTTAAGCTCAGGAAAAAAAGACTAAGAAAAATACTTCAATAGTATTTATCTTTAGATGGTGGGATGACAGGTAATTCAGGTTCTTAGTTGTACTTTTTAACCCTATCCAAATGTTCTCTAATGAACACATGCTGATAACCAGAAAACAACGTGTAATTTACTAAAATGAAGACCATTTCTATAAATAGACATTAAAATTAAATACAATAATTTGGGAAAATGTGTATTTTATGTGAAAATGAAAAGTAGGATTGAAGGTTGCAGATATGCACTTATAACAGCAAAAGATGAGAAAACTAAATGTTCAACACCAGGAGGTGCTGCTTAACCAAACTATGGTACAACAGACTACTACAGAGCTAATTGAAAACATGAGGCAGATCTCTGTGCTGCTATGGAATGACTGCCAAGATAGGTTACCAACTGAGAAGACCAAGGTGTGTAATAGCATGTATATGTTTCCAACAAAAAAAGAAAGAAGGGGTGAGAAAGAGATTATTTTATATGCATAAAACATATCTGAAAGGCTACATGAGAAACTACAGTGGTTACTTCTGGAGTGGGGATAAAGAGTTGTGTATACAATATGACCACAACTGCATGAAAATATGCAATAACACATAAATACATAATACATAAAAAAGAAAGTACACTGTTCACAGCAGAATTTCTGAATCCATTTCAAGGTTGTCCCCTAAAGATTTTTTTTTTTTTTTGAGACAGAGTCTCGCTTTGTTGTCCAGGCTAGAGTAAGTGCCGTGGTGTCAGCCTAGCTCACAGCAACCTCAAACTCCCGGGCTCAAGCGATCCTACTGCCTCAGCCTCCCGAGTAGCTGGGACTACAGGCATGTGCGACCATGCCCGGCTAATTTTTTATGTATATATCAGTTGGCCAATTACTTTCTTTCTATTTATAGTAGAGACGGGGTCTCGCTCTTGCTCAGGCTGGTTTCGAACTCCTGACCTCGAGCAATCCGCCTGCCTCCGCCTCCCAGAGAGCTAGGATTACAGGCGTAAGCCACCGCGCCCGGCCTCCCCTAAAGATTTTTAAAGCAGAACCTAACAACAGACATTGAAAAATAATGAAAAAAATGAAAAGTTCAATCTATCTGAATTATAGGAACTTGTGAAATAAAAATGCAGCAGTAGATATAACTGTTACTATAATTGGTATTTCAAAACCCAGTCATACTAGTTTTTATTACTAACAAGGAAATGGCTAGGGAATTGGTTATTAAAGAAAACTAATTTGTAATTAAATCATTCAAGAACTCACTGAACATAGGTGATTTTATTCGAAGATTTTCCTGCTATATTTACTCTGGTTTACAAGTTTAGTAATCCAGCAGTGGAATATACCGCTGTACATTTAGGCAATAACAAAAGAAAGGAAGACATTTTTATATGTTAAGAATTAAGTCAATTATAGAATTGGGGCAGAGGTGGTTAGGAACTCAGAAACAAAATTCTTTTAAACTAGATTATTACTATTTTAAAGTTCCCTCTAATAAAACTCTAAATAAGAATTATTTCATCTTTTGCAATATCAGAAGCAGATAGGTAACTAAGGTTGTCCCTTATGTTTCTAAAAATCAGATGTAAAGATTTTATCTGCACTACTGAATATGTATGAACATGAATTTGCTGAGGTGTACCTATATCAAGAAAATACACTTCAACTTGTTTTATGTTGGAATGAAGTCATTAACTTAGAATCCTTTTGATGTGTATGGCTTTCTTTCAAACACTCAGACTTTTTGGTACTCATTAACACTAATGTATTTTGCTGAGTTTCCCTGAGTGTACTTATTATAAAAAGATCACAGATCCCCAAGGATTCAGGGCTATTATCAACCACTGTGAGAATCAGCTGGTAATACTGGATGACTTACCCCAGAGAACTCAAAATTAGACCAGATAATAGAAAGTTATTGCCACTAACTTTCACTCCACATCTGGGAAATGACAGTTCTTCCATTTTACCTATCATTGTGGCACTCGGGGGTTTGGTTAGCTGAAGGGACTAGGAGTATCTTTTCTAGGTACTAGGAGTACCTTTATTTACAGGAGTACCTTTTCTTTCCAGGGAAAAACAAAATCATCATTTCCTATCAAGCGTATGGCTTCAAGAGAAATTTTTAGTGGAATGAAGAAGCAATAGACATGACAATCCTGAAGATCAGAAAAGTGATCTATCACAGCCCTATCACCCAGATATCTGGGTAATTTAAGAACGTTATCTCTGACATTGGTCCCCAACCAATTGGCACCAGGGACCATTTTCATGGAAGACAATTTTTCCACGGCGATGGCTTTGGTACGATTCAAGTGCATTACATTTACTGTGTACTTTATTTCTATTATTATTACATTGCAATATATAATGAAATAATTATACAACTCACCATAGATTAGGAACCCCTGAATAGGACCCAGGGCAGAAAAGGAGGTAGCACCAGGAGCGCACTCTCACTTTCAGTGAAAACGCTCTTGCCTGTGAGGAGCTAAAATCTGGTGACACTCTACTTCGTCCCTAAATGGTGCTAGGCACTGAAGCCACTCTGTTGACAGTTCAACATGTTACCACTCACACAGGTGTCACCGCACACAACCATCAATGTTACTTCTAAAGTCACCCGGTTCCATGAACTATGTTTCTCTGTATCCTGGTGACAAAGGTTACTTTCCATTATTTACCCAGATTATTTGTAAAACATTCCTCTCCATTACCTCTTTTACCACTGTGGATCTAAACCTGAATATTCACCACACCCTCAGCAGTCTTAGAAAGAACAGAACGGAAGTTCCCCCTCCAGGAAATGTTGAAGCAGAGGATTGGAAGGGTCAGAAGTGACACAGGAGAGGAAAAAGTCTTGTCGAAATCGAGTATATTTAAGTCTGTCACACATAGTTTTAGGCCATTTCGTTTCTGTCTCTTGACTCCGTTGGCCTTTCTCAACATCCAGACCACCCCGAGGTGGATTAACACCTGCCGTCGCATCCCACCGGCACCTCCTCTCCCTTGCCTCCAGACTGCGGGGTTCGGGATCCCTTTTCTAGTAAAGCTCCCCTCACATCACCCCTTTGGAGATGTTGCGCCGAGCCCTTCCTAACTTTGGAAGCTAAGAACTAGGGGCGGGCAGAGAAGGCCGTAAGGAGGAAGAGGAGCCAAGGCTGCCCCCCCACGCCCCCGGGCCGGTCCCTGGCCGAGTGGCCTGCAGCCGCCTCCGGTTTCAGCCGGTGCTCCCAGAGCCGCAGACCTCGGGCCCAGGACGCCCCAGGGAGGAGGAATGAGTGCGGCCTCTGGAACCAGCCCCGGCCAAGACAGCGCCCACGGTCGCCGCTTCTGCGCGGGATCCGGCCTGGCTGCCGGGGGAAGGGGCCCATTGGGGCCGCCGCCTCCCCACAGCCGGGCCCCGCCTCCAGCCCGCTGCTCCCGGGCCGCCGTCGGAGCCCTTACCCGTAGGACATGGTAGCCTTCCGTGCCCCCGCCCGGGATCTCGACGCTCTGCGAGGAGCCCATGGCGGCGGGCGATCGGTGCGGCCGAGCCCGGCTCCGCGATGTTCTCCGCCCCCCGCGCACCGTCCGCTCTGCTCCTCCGCGTAGCACTTGGGACGTGGCACTCGCTGCCGCCGGAGAGCCGGGCCGCACAGCCCGCTGGGAGATCGTCGCCGCGGCAGCCGGGGCCGCTGCGACGCCGTAGACAGCGCCACCTGCCGCGAGCCACCAGAAGGGGCCTGAGGGCTCTCAGGCGGGGAGGGAGGGCAGGAGACGGGATGGGAGGGGCCTAGTGGTCCTCGCGATAGAACAGAAATTCAGTTCCCGTAGCCTCGGCACCTTGCTACGGAGCCCTGGGTTGGACAAGATTCATGTAGACGCGTTCCCACTCGCGCGGAAAGACAGTTGCTTGCTTGTAGCTCCCCCTGATGGCCAGAGGCAGGGAAAGGGCTGGTGTTGGAAGAATAGGAGCGAATGCAAAACACACCAAGCGCCTCACTTTCTGGGTTTGTAGGTCTTGTCCCAGATTGTACAGTTAAAGGTAATAGTGCTCTCTGTGGGCTGAATACCCCATCCGCTCAGCTAAATTTTACAGGGGGAAACGTTCCCTTTTTGAAACAGCTGTCCCAAAGAATTACCTACGAAGTTCTTTTTTGGTATGGGGTTTACAAGATCAGAGGATTGGTCATAATCAGAGCGATGTCAGTGCGGGAAGCAGGGTTGGATTTCTTTCTCGTCCCACCGCCTCTGGGGCTCGGTTCCCCATCCCGCCTCCTTTAAGTAGCCAAGTTTTATTTATACTTATCCTACTCCTTGCTCCTTTTGCCCCTTTTATGTGCTCCCTTTAAAGTCCCCAGTTACTGCCATTGCCCAGTAGTCAATTTGATAATCACTAATGATGAGTCAACCAGATATCATGTGTATTCTGATGTGATGCAACGTGAAGTACATGTTATCACCCATGAAGTATTCTAGCCCCAAATGTTTAACTTGCCTCTAATGCATCTTTATTTTGAACTTCCAGCTTATGGGAAATACGGAGAATAGAGGAACAAGTAAACTGACACAGCAGGGAACCCGGCAGATACAGGTGGTGGGCCTGGTCAGTTCTTTGAATCAAGTGAGAATACTATGAAAGGTACTGTGCTGGATGTAAGTGACATGAAGGATGTAACCAGGGGATGCAGGGGTGAGGTCTTGAGTTGGGGGCTGATTTGGAGAAATAAATCGTAAAGGATATTTTTTTTGGCTCAATTGGAGACATTTGAGTATGTACTGTTAGAAGAAAAGTAGTTGTTAACATGGAAAAATGGAAATTATTGACTGGGGAAAAAAACTGGTTATGAGACAGGATGCATCCAAGACAATCTGAAAAACATTAACAAAATACATATTAATACATATGTTTTATGTGTGAATATGAAGATGTGGGAGGATAGGAACCAAGGGTTACAGTGGTGATCTCTGGGTGGTGACAGAGATGTTTTATTTTTTGTTTTGGCTAATTCTATATTCTATAATGCTCAGGGACTGCTTTTGTAATAATAAAATTTTTTTTTAAATAAAAATTCAGGCCAGGCATGGTCACTCACACCTGTACTCCTAGCACTTTGGGAGGCCAAGGCAAGAGGGTTTCTTGAGGCCAAGAGTTCAAGACCAGCCTGAGCAAGAGCAAGATCTTGTCTCTACAAAAAAAGAAAAAGAAAAACTAGCCTGAGGTGATGGTGCTTGTAGTCCCAACTACTCCCAAGGCTGAGTCAGGAGGATCACTTGAGTCCAGGAGTTGGAGGTCGCAGTGAGCTATGATGATGCCACTTCAGTCTAGCCTGGGCAACAGAGCCAGACCCTGTCTTAAATAAATAAATAAATAAATAAATAAATAAATAAATAAATAAATAAATAAATAAATAAATAAAATCTTCCTTTGCTGTCAATAAGCCAATATTAGGTTTTTAGGAGGCCTAAAAATTACACAAATTAAATCTCTAGTTATTGGGCTCCTCAAGGACAGGGTCTGCAGTGGAGCTGGCTCTGTGTTCCTAAAATTCACCAGAGTAATAGACAAGTAATTCAATAAATTAATAAATTTAATGTGAGGGAATAAATATGAGAACTAGATTTGATGATAATATTCTTGTTCTGCTTGGCAATTATAATGTTCTTCATAATGGTTCATAAGCTGCTCCTGTGTTCAGTGGTCAAAATTTTTGGACCAGCTGTTTTCCAGACGTCTGACACTAGCGGTAGCTTGCAGAGTGCAGGCTGTGGGTCTGCGGTGGTCTGTGAGCAAATCCAGACCTTCCTTAGAGCTGTACAGTATGTTTCAGCCTTGCAATAGGCTACTTGCCATTCCCTACACAGGCCATTTATTACCTTCTCCACTTTATTTATGCCAATCCCTACTTCTGGAATGCCCTTCCTTATATTTTGCACTTAGAAAATTTCTAAGTGTCCTTTAGGGCTCATCTCAAATGTCACTTATTTATCCTCAAGTTCAGAATGACTCTTTCCTCAGGCTGAGTTCCTGAAACAGTTAGTTCTTTCATTTCTGTAGCATCATCAACATCATCACAGGCCTGTGTCCCACCATTTATGGTATATTTATTTAGGGTGAGGATTGTGGCTTTTCCTCTGTAGGTCCCTAGTTCCTGGTTCAGTATTGGGAACATGGTAGTAATATTTGTTGATTTTAATGGAATGGGCGTAATGAATAGCTTCAACCTTTTTCTTTCTCAGAATCAGTTAATAAGTTACCTGTGTGGCTATTATTTGTGCTTCATCAAAATCTGTGATTAGAGATTAAGTATGTTTTAAAATAAACTTTAAAAAACCACTTGTGCTATTTCTTTAGTGGTAATTGGGAAGGAGTGAGGTACAGGGTCCTCCAGGTTTGGAATTGAAAAAATATGATAACCATTGCCCCAGTTTTCCTAGTGCCAGTTATTTTCCTCTTTTTGTCAGGGAATATGCTGCAATAGAGGGCAAAGAATAAAATCTCAAGGATGTTGCCAAAGCTAATATAAATACAACATAATTCAGGGGACACATGGGAGATTATTGTCCAAGTCAGTCTCAATTGGAGTAGGAATCTGCTTCAGGCAAGTTGGTATTTTTGAAACATTATAAGCAGCAGAAAAGCAAAGTCCAGCAAAAGCAAATATCTACAGGCTAAAAAAGTCAAACCCAAAGCAATCTATTTTTCTGGAAGGAGCATCTAAAATTCTATTTTGGGTATCTATTCTGGGTTCCATTAATTCCCAGTTCTCATAAATAAGGAGTTCATGATAGAGGGGTCATTTTTATCATATAGGTTGAGTATACCTTAACCTAAATGCTTGGGTGTATAACCTAAGTGTTTTGGATTTTAGATTGTTTTGGATTCTGGAATATTACTGATTGAGTATCTCTAATGCCAAAATTTGAAATCCAAAATGCTCCATTGAGCATTTCTTTTGAGTATAATGTTAGTGCTCAAAAAGTTTGGATTTCAGAGCATTTGGGATTTCAGACTTTCAGGTAAAGAATACTCTAGCTGTATTGGCTACTGCAGCCTCACTTTTTGCCTCCAGCCTACCCTGGAAAGATCAGTTCCTGCTGTGTTTGGATGACAACTACATTGGAACATCATGGGGGGCCTCCCATGGCCCCTTCCTAACCTCATCCATTTTGCTGAGGGAGCAAACCACATAAAGGATCATGTTATGTGCCATGGACACTCAGTCACAGCTGACTGGACAGGAGGGGAGCCCTGACATACAGACAGCCAACAACTACACTGAATAACTTGTGAGATACCCTTTTAGAAAAAGTTCTTCCTCCCAAAACAGATGGTGATGACTATCGAGGCCAATCAGGTTTTCTCTTTGGGGACTTGTAACCAGGAAATACAAGGAGAGACTAGTCAGTGTATATTTATTTGCATATTAGAATGCAAGCTCCACGAGGACACGGTCTTTGCCTGTGTGTCTTCTACTGTACACTTAGTACTAACAAAGGACTGGCATGGAATAGTTGCTCAATAAATGGCTGTTGAATGAATGAATGATCACTTTAGTAGTTATATTAATAGAAAAGTGATAGGCCGGGTGCGGTGGCTCACGATTATAATCCTAACACTCTGGGAGGCCAAGGTGGGTGGATCATTTGAGCTCAGGAGTTTGAGACCAGCCTGAACAAGAGCAAGACCCCATCTCTACTAAAAATAGAAAGAAATTAATTGATCAACTAAAAAAATATATATATATAAATATATATATTATATTATATAATATATATAATTTATTTTATATATATATAAAATTAGCTGGACATGGTGGCACATGCCTGTAGTCCCAGGTACTTGGGAGGCTGAAGCAGAAGGATCGCTTGAGCCCAGGAGTTTGAGGTTGCTATGAGCTAGGCAAAGGAATGAGACTCTGTCTCAAAAAAAAAAAAAAAAAAAAAAGAAAAAAAGAAAAAGAAAAGTGCTAGAGCAATGGTTCTCAGGCTTGGGTATGTATCAAGTTCACCAGGGAACTTTGTAAAAATGCAGAAGTCCAAATGCTAGTCTACTTCAATGAGGCCAGGTCCCAGCAGTCTTCAACAGTTTCTGGGTGATTCTGATACATACAAAGTTTGAGAACTACTGTACTACAGTAATGCTTACTAAACCTCCACTGTTTTATTGATAATCAAATAATCAATGAGAATCCCTCAAATGGGGAGGGATCCTCTCAGCAATCAAACTTGGCCACAAGGCCCAAATTGTACTGATGTTCCTGTGTTTCTTGGATGTTTCTATCACCTTTACTGTCAAACTTTTGTTTTTATTCATTTATTTTTTTTAAAGAAATTTTTGATTTTGAAATAATTTTAGATTTAAAGAAAAGTTGCAGATAGTATAGGGTTCCCATAGGCCTTCACCCAGTTTCTCCTATTGTTAACATCTTACATGAATCATGGTACATTGTTAAAACCAAGAAACCAACATTTGTGCATTATTAACTAAACTCTAAACTTTACTCAAATTTCACAAATTTTCCCACTAATGTTCTTTTTTTTTGGCATTTCATGCAAATTTTTACTCTGAAAATTTTAACAATATAGACATTACATCTAAAAAGGTAACCTCTAGTTTTCAATTAACATAACAATTATGCAATTACTTTTAACAAAGTAACTTTTCTTAACTTTTCTTAAGGAGCCAAAGAAATTCATGGTGGGAAAGTTAGTGTCTGCCCCTGCCCCCAAAACTGAGTTATTTCTTTAATGGTAATCAGGTAACATTGGGAAAGTAATATTTTAATTTTTTATTTGCAAAGAAAGCTTGGTACCCAACTTAGTGTTATTTTTAATATCTGTTTCGGTCTCCTCTTTCAGATCAGAAGATCCTCTTCTCCCACGACCTCCTCTGGAAGCCCCACAACTGGAGCTACTATAGGATTCACAAGGAGTGGGATGAACCCTATCCATAGAAGGTGGAAGCCCTCATTCTTGTCTGCCAGCACGCTCACAACCACTGGGATAGATATGACTTCTGCTGGTTGAGTAACTCTCCTGACTTCCACCATATCCATCTCGTGTACTGTTATAATCATCATAACAACTGCTTCCATCATAAGTCAGCTGGGGCCCATGTGCAGGTGGTGCACCACAGGACCTTCCATAACTCTCATATCCACCTCTATAAGAGCCTCCACTTGCATGTTCAGAATAATCCCTATCCTGGCCTCCACTGTAGCCATCACGATCATTATATCCTCTAGAGGAATGTTCGTCCCGAGAACTAGAATGGCTATAATCACAGTATAATCTCTACGTGGTGGAGCATAATCCTTGATCCTTGGTGTCTCAGGAACTTGGATAATCTCTGCTTGAGTAACTTTTTTTTTTTTTTTTTTTGAGACAGAGTCTCGCTTTGTTGCCCAGGCTAGAGTGAGTGCCGTGGCGTCAGCCTAGCTCACAGCAACCTCAAACTCCTGGCTCAAGCAATCCTCCTGCCTCAGCCTCCCAAGTAGCTGGGACTACAGGCATGTGCCACCATGCCCGGCTAATTTTTTCTATATATATATATTAGTTGGCCAATTAATTTCTTTCTATTTATAGTAGAGACAGGGTCTCGCTCTTGCTCAGGCTGGTTTCGAACTCCTGACCTCGAGCAATCCGCCTGCCTCAGCCTCCCAGAGAGCTAGGATTACAGGCGTGAGCCACCGCGCCCGGCTGCTTGAGTAACTTTTTTTAGCTGCATAACTATCATCTCTTGGTGACATATAGTCATCTCTCTGGCTCTGGCTCTCTGCATGGAGCACCTCCATAATTTTCTCTTCCACATGATACTGGACCTTGTCTTCCCATTCCACTACTCTCTCTTTCTTTCTTTCTTTCTTTCTTTCTTTCTTTCTTTCTTTCTTTCTTTCTTTCTTTCTTTCTTTCTTTCTTTCTTTCTTTCTTTCTTTTTTCTTTCTTTCTTTCCTTTTTTCTTTCTTTCCTTTCAGACAGAATCTTGCTCTGTTGGCTGGACTAGACCCTGACATCAAGCTAGCTCACAGCAACCTCAAATTCCTAGGCTCAAGCAATCCTTCTGCCTTAGCCTCCTGAGTAGCTGGGACTACAGGCATGTGCCACCATGCCTGGCTAATTTTTTCTATATATTTTTAGTTGTCCAGCTCATTTCTTTCTATTTTTAGTAGAGATGGGGTTTCACTTTTGCTCAGGCTGGTCTTGAACTCCTGACCTTGAGCAGTCCTCCCACTTCAGCCTCCCAGAGTGCTAGGATTACAGGCATGAGCCACCACACCCAGCCTCACTACTGTTTCTTGGTGGAGCAGAAGGAGCAGATCTTTTAGGAGCAGGACCTCCACTTCTTGAAGATGGGCTTCTTTTAACTGGAAAGGGTCCCCAGGAAGAACTCATATTGACATTAAGAGTATATCCAACATCATCCAAGTGTCCTCCACGTGAGGGACACCCTCTTACTCCTCCACTTCCTCCTCTTCCACATCTCGGACCTCTTGGAGGGCCTCTGTTTCTTGGAGGAAGTGGTCTACTACGACTTTCAAAAGATGGTTTGTTGGCTTGCTCTACTTTAATTGCTTTTCCATCCAAAGACTTTCCATTCATATCTTTAGCAGCATCCTTAGCATCTGCTGGGCTCTTTTTTCTTTTTTTTTTTTTAGACAGAGTCTCACTCTGTTGCCTGGAATAGAGTGCCATGGCATCAGCCTAGCTCACAGCAACCTCAAACTCCTGGGCTCAAGTGATCCTCCTGCCTCAGCCTCCTGAGTAACTGGGACTACAGGCAAGCGCCACCATGCCCAGCTAATTTTTTCTGTGTATTTTTAGTTGTCCAGCTAATTTCTTTCCATTTTTAGTAGAGACGGCGTCTCACTCTTGCTCAGGCTGGTCTCAAACTCCTGAGCTCAAATGATCCTCCTGCCTCGGCCTCCCAGAGTGCTAGGATTACAGACGTGAGCCACTGTGCCCGGCCCTGTAGGGCTCTTGAAAGTAATAAACACAACGCCTCTGGACTTATTAGTTTCTTGATCCTTCTTCAAGGAATGCAGCCATATTTCCCAGATACTACTTCCAGAGCCTTTTCACTGGTCTCAGTATTGAGGCCCCCTATGAACAGTTTCCCAGGTCAATCTGCTTTCACCATTTTGCTGCTTTTCTCAATCTTCCGAGAACATGCCTTCAGGTTTCCCTGAGTGATCACAGGCTACATTCTAATCTTCTTTTTCTGTTCCAGGATTCAATCTAGGATCCTACCTGGCAGTTAGTTGTTAACGTTTCCTTTGTCTTCTCTGGTTTGTGACAGTGCCGTAATCTTTCCTGTTTTTCATGACCTTGACAGTTTCAAAGAGCTCTGCTCAGGCATTTTAAAAAATATACCTCTCTTTGGATATGTCTATTGTTTTTCTCATGATTGGACTGGGGTTATGGATTTTGGGGAGGAATACTACAGAGGTAAAACACCACTCTCATCACATCATATCAGGAGTTTGTGTTATTAACATGGCTTATTACTGGTGATGTTAACCTTGATCATTTGTTTGGTGTTGTCTTCTTTAATAGTAAAGTTACTATTTTCCCCTTTCCCTATGGAAACAAATCACTATGTCTAGCCTTCCTCAAGGATTTGGGAGGTAAAGTGGAGAAATGGAATTAAGCTCTACCTCCTGGAAGGGCATTATATGTATAAAGTATTTGGAATTCTGTGGTATATGTATACCACAGAGTACTACTCAGCTATAAAAGGGATGAATTAATGCCTTTTGCAACAATTTGGATGGAACTGGAGACGGTTATCTTGAGAAATATCTTGAGAAGTATCTCAAGAATGGAAAAACAAACACCACATGTATTAAATTGGAACTAAACAATGAACACATATATGCTCAGAGGGAAGTAAAACTCATTGGAAATCTATCGGGGAGGGGGGAAGAGGGGAGGGGCAAAAACCTACCTAACTGGTACATGGAACACTATTCAGGTGATGGGCACACTTATAGCTGTGACTCAAGCATTGCAAAAGCTATCCATGTAACAAAAACATTTGTACCCTCTTAATATTCTGAAATTTAAAAAATAAATAAATTATTTCCAATTCTTCTGTAAGGAGTTTTATCATTTCTTATTTATTTATTAAATCACTTATTTATATCCATAAGGACTCATGGATATTTATTTTGTACTTTGGTTAATAGTGTGTTACTTATTGCTGGTGGGAATGCAAAATTTTGTTGCTAAATTGTACTGGCTTTACATAGTGGGAGCCACTGGAAGTCCTTTTTAGGTTGGCTTCTGTATCCTTTTGACAGATCCTCATGCTTTTGAAAAAAATTGTATACATATACATAAAATTTACCATCTTAATTATTTTTAATCATAGAGTTCAGTAGTATTAAGTATATTCACATTGTTGTGCAACTCTCCTAGTGGTTTTTGAGTACTTCTGTACTTTTTGGCACTAGAAGATGCTCTAGGCTCATGTTATATTTTTCCTGTTCTACCCTAGAAATAGTCATTTCTTTAAGGAGCACTGTTTTCTTTGATTGAGGAATGGTATTTAGAAGCCAAGATGTGGGCACTGGGTGTGCTCATGGCTACTAGCATGTCATTGTTTCTCTCAGGAGACAGAGCTAGAAAATGTGTGTGTATATATATATATACTGATCCTTGTATACACACATATCTATAATTATTTTTGTATCTATCTGTATATCTATTAAACTAAACATGAATTCATACTTTCTATGACTCTACTATACCACAAGGTTCATTTTAGCATTTGCCCTTTGCTTATTTGTAACTTCTTTCTTTGGCAGTGAGAAATCTAGCTCCCATTACTTACCATTTATTTCTTTTTTTCTTTCTTTTTCTTCTTTCTTTTCTTTCCTTCCTTCCTTCTTTCTGTCCTTTCTTTCTTTCTTTTCTTTTCGACAGAGTCTTACTCTGTCATCTGGGGTAGAGTGCCATGGTGTCAGACTAGCTCACAGAAACCTCAAACTCCTGGGCTCAAGTGATCCCCCTGCCTCAGCCTCCTGAGCAGCTGGATCTACAGGCTTGTACCACTACACCTGGCTATTTTTTTCTATTTTTAGTAGAGACACCGTCTTGCTCTTGCTCAGGCTGATCTTAAACTTCTGACCTCAAGCAATCCTCTCACCTCACCCTCCTAGAGTGCTAGGATTATAGGCATGAGCCATCATGCTTGGTTCATTTATTTATTTTTTCAAACTTATATTCACCTTTGTGATACATTTGGATTCAACTCACAGTCTGTATTCGATCCTGGGATCTTTGATATATGGTTGATTTTCTTTTAATTTGTGCACATTAAAATGTACTCTTTGTGATGTACAATTCTATGGGTTTTTATAAATGCATGTATCTACCACCCCACTACCATAAAGAACAGTTCCAGCACCCTAAAAATTCCCCTGGGTTAACCCTTTAACCCAAGCAACTACTAATGTGTCTTCCATTATTATAGTTTTGCATTTTCCAGAATGTCCCATGAATAAAATCACACAATATGTAGACTTTTGGGTTTGATTTCTTTCACTTAGCAAAATGCATTTAAGATTCATGCAGGCTGGGCGCGGTGGCTCACGCCTATAATCCTAGCACTCTGGGAGGCCAAGGCAGGTGGATCGCTCAGGGTCAGGAGTTCAAAACCAGCCTGAACAAGAGTAAGACCCCATCTTTACTAAAAATAGAAAGAAATTAATTGGCCAACTAAAAATATACAGAAAAAGTTAGCGGAGCATGGTGGCACATGCTTGTAGTCCCAGCTATTTGGGAGGCTGAGGCAGGAGGATTGCTTGAGCCCAGGAGTTAGAGGTTGCTGTGAGCTAGGCTGATACCATGGCACTCTAGCCTGGGCAACAGAGTGAGACTCTGTCAAAAAAAAAAAAAAAAAAAGATTCATGCATACTGTGTGACTCAATAGCTCACTTCCTT